GTGAGAGTTGAGGGGTGCATTAGTCCTCTCTCGACCCTTTATTCCACTATGTTCCATGAGTCTTAGTTGTAGAGATTTGACTGCAGATGTGTCAGCTAGTACTGGGCATCTCCCAGGTGTATGTTCTCTGTGCCTGACCAGATATGAAACTCTACAGTAGCCTCTATCTGTTGCAAAAAGAAGCTTTGATGAGTGCTGTATGGCATGTTTGTCAATCTAAGGGAGGTCCCTTCTATCTGGCACTGCGTTCCTTGCCAAGCAGCTTCTAGGTATAAATATGCATTAATGTTCAGACACTCTATGTGCATTTCTCATAGGGTTCCTAGGGCATCACTTTCCCCTCTAGGTTTCCTAGCCCCCCATGATTTACTCATGCCCACTCTTTTTCACTCATTCTTCCATCTGAACTCCCTCCTCCCTCCTTCCCTAGTCGCAGTGCCCCGCCCTCCCCCTAATACCTCCTGACTCCTGCCGTCTTTCCATTCTTGACTTCCCTCACTCCCCCACACTATGGTCCCTTGCATGTCCCCCCCTTCTCCTCCCTGCCTATTACTCCCGCTTTTTCCACCTCCCTCCTGCTTTCCATAGTGATTGCTTCTGGATCAGACAGACAGAACTGCTCAGCTAGGACTCCGGTAAGTCAGATCAAGCTCACTGCCTCCCTACCCCATTTCTCTCAAACTTCTACTCCATCCCCTGCCAGCCTCTCTCATAGGTGGGCTCCAATCCCTTCACCTCAAATCCCAGGACTGACTTTCTAAACCAGATTAACCAATCACCCTACCATAGACCTTAAGCCCTCACCCAGGCATTCCCCTCCCTGCCAAATTCCCAGCCTCCGGATCAGGTAGGCAGACCTGCTCATCCAGGACTCTGAATAAAAGTTCCTGTTGAACACATAACAGACAAAGAACATCCATACGCCAAGACGGTAATGCAAAAACACAAATAATATGAAAAACCAGGAAAATGTATACCCAACAAAACCCGTGAGTCCTGCAGAAGTGCACAGCATTGTAAACCACCCTGTAGAACCCCAGGACACAGAATTTAAAAGAACACTCATAAACATGATGAAAGAATTACAAGAAAACACAACTCAAAGAACTCAAAGAGGAAAGGTATAAACTTTTGATGGAAGCTCAAGAATATACAAATACATGGCTTAATGAAATATCAAAAACAATTCATAATTTGAAAACGAATTCACTAAAGAGATAGAAATAGGGAAGAAAACCCAAATGGAAATGAACATGGGACTGAAAGAGTCAATAAAACAAGTAGAAACAACAGGAGAAAGTCTCACAAGACAAGCAGAATGAATGAAATGGAAACAGAATATCAAGACTGGAGAATAAAGTTGAAGATCAGGACTCCTTAAGCAAAGACTATGCAAAATTAAAAAAGTTACAGGAATGGAATACTCAGGAAATGTGGGACAACATGAAATGACCAAATCTATGTATTATAGGCACACAGGAAGTAGAAGAAAATCAAACCAATGGCATCTAACAGATCTTCAATAGGATTGTAGAAGAAAACTTCCCTAAATTAAGAAAAGATATACCTATAGAGGTTCAAGAAGCACAGAGAACACCATTAAGACATGATCAGAACAGAAAGTCACCATGACATACCATAGTAAAAACATTAAATGTACAGAACCAAGAGAGGGCATTGAAAGCTGCTAGAGAAAAACAACAGGTTACATATAAAGGAAAACCCATCAGAGTAACAGCTAACTTTTCAGTGCAAACTATGAAACCCAGAAGAGCCTGGAACAAAGTATTCCCAGTTCTAAACAACCATGGATGCCAACCCCGAGTAGTTTATCCAGCAAAACTATCTTATCAAGGTTGAAGGGGAACAGAAAATTTTCCATGACACAAATAGGCTGAAAGAATTCATGTCTTCAAAACCAGTGTTACAGAGAATTGAAGCAATACAAAGGACCAAAGAAAGGAATGAGTATGCCCAAAAGGATACAGAAAGAAAACAAAGTTATTAACAAGGGAAAAACAAAGTAGGGCCACAAACACAAGGAAATTAAAATGACAGTACACAATCCTTACCTATAAATAATAACACTAAATATCAATGGCTCAACCCCCCTGTCAAAAGACACAGGCTGGTGCAATGGATCAAGAAAGAAAACCCATCTTTTTGCTGTCTTCAAGAAACTCATCTCACCTTCAAGGATAGATTTGATTGTGAGGTGAGGTTGGGTGAGGGCTTAGAGGTCTATGGTAGGATAATTGGTTAATCTGGTTTGGGAAGTTAGTCCTGGGATTTGGGGTTAAGGAATTGGAGCCAGCCTGTGAGAGAGTCTGGTAGGGGACAGAGTGTGGGTTCTCATGAGAGAAATGAGGGAGGGAGGCAATGAGCTTGATCTTTAACTAGAGTCCTAGCTGAGCAGGTCTGTCTGCCAGATCCCAAGGCTGGGAATTTGGTGGTGAGGGGGTCTGCCTGGGTGAGAACTTAGGAATCTATGGTAGGGTGAGTGGTAAATCTGGTTTGGGAAGGTAGTCCTGGGATTTGGATTTAAGGAATAGGAGCCAGCTTGTGAGAGAGGCCTGCAGGGACAGGGATGAGAGGAACGGGGTAGCTAGTCCTCCTGTGGAGAATAAGCAGACAATTCTTGTTAGTGAGAAGTAGAGAAGAAAATTTGGCCTTCTCCATTCAGAAACTGGCACAGTGGCCACGGAGGGAGGCTCAGAGCAGCCTCTTTCAGAGTTTAGACCACACCTCAGATGGTGCCTCTCCCTTGAAGTAATGTGTCATTCAAGAGGCTCCCGGTGAAACCTCAATTTTAGCCTTTGGTTATAATTAACAAAATCCTATGGAACTTCCAGAATAGGGATTTGGCTCCAAATACTAGTTAGTTTTGTTTTTATTTAATCCTATTTAAAAATATTTTTTTAATTTTATGTGTATGTGTATGTGTACTGCCTGCATGTGGCTAGATGCACTCATGTCATGGAGTGGCCGTGGAGGTCAGAAAAGGGTGTTGGATCACCTGAACTGGAGTTATGGACAGTTGTTAGCTGCCATGTTGGTTCTGGGAATCGAACCTGGGTCTTCTGCAAGAGCAGTGAGTGCTCTTAACTGCTGAGCCATCTCTTCATTTCCTATTTCATCCTGTTTTTACCAGTGGTCAGTGTTTGGGCAGGGCGTTTCCAGGTTCTTGGCCTCTCATCCAGAGAATTGAAAATAAGGGCTCACACAGTTTGCAAAGGAAGTGAGATAAACTTATTTGGAGCAAAGCAATAGTGCAGGTTATAGAGGGGGATACACTGTCAATATTGACAGAAGGCCACATGAGGGAGAATACTCAAGGGTCTCAGAATACAGCCTAGGGTCTTTTCATGGTGTCTAAAAAAAGGAGGAGCTGTTACTAAGGACTGTAGTCTGTGTGACTTTCTCTTTTCAATGCTAGATCAGGTCATACATCAACTTTTCCTATTGTGCATGCCCCTCACCATAATGCATCTGGTTTTAGTCATATGCATACCCAATTATGCATACACATAAGATGATAAATAGGGAATTGTTACCAAGGGTGGAGAAACATACCATTTTCTGGAGATGGGAGTATACATTTCCTATGCAGGTAGGAGGTTGAGGGAATTTTGAGATTGCTGGGTGCTTTGTTTTGAGGTGTGTGTGTGTGTGTGTGTGTGTGTGTGTGTGTGTGTGTGTGTATGTGTGTGTGTGTGGTGTATAAAACCCAGATAGGGGCTCTAGGGTACCAAGTTGTCTCCTATGCTTGCTATGAAATAACTCTCTGAAATAACCAAACCTCAGACCAAAGAAGATTTTCTGCCCTCCATGTTTTCCTTCTGTTTTTCCCTGTGAGTCACACTTCACTTTTATGCAGGTTTCTGTCTCTGAAACCATCTATGTGCAAGTGGAGATTCTGCTGTTGTACTCTGCTGGATGGTTATTCCTTATGATGTGTTGTATGAGGTGCATCTTCACAGGAGCTGGGCAGTGCTGCAGGATCTGCCTTATTACAAGAGGCCTTGGAAAGCAGAACACATGTGCTACTTGGTAGTGGTGGCAGATTTGCTAGTATTCAGTTTTGAGCTAGTTAGAGGAAGGATGTAGGGTTTGGCCTCAGTATTTGGTAAGTGTGTACAAGGACTTTTCCTCATTTTTGAGCATATGCAAAGCTGTTTATATACTGGCCTTCTTCCCTTGCCTCTTACTGTTTACCTGCTTTTCCAGTCATTTTTTGAGTCAGCAATCATTTCTCCCTCCTATTTGATTTCTTATCTTTGACAATTTGCATCATTTCTTTAAGCTTATCAGTATTTCTGCTTTTCTATCTCCATGACTGTTGACATGCCAAGTAATACAGTTTGGATCTAGAATGATCCTTTCCACAAAGGCCCACATGTTTTAAAGGCCCTGGTCCTCAGCTTGGCACTGTTGGAAGGTAGTAGAACTTATCAGTGGTGGGCCTAGTGGGAGGTCTTCAAGTCACTGGGGGTGTGCCTTTGAAGGGGATAATGAGACCCTGGTTTCTTTATTTTTTGAGAACCCTGAGGCGAGTAGCTCTCTGTACATGCATTCCCTTCCATAATAGGTGCTTACCACGGGCCCAAAAGCAATGGTTCCAAGCCTCCATGGCTTGGAACTGTGAGTAAAGTAAACCTCTTTACAGTCTACTTTGGTAATAGAAAGCTGCTAATATAATACCAAATGATTCAAGCCTTTGCTTTTCCTTTAGTGGCAGGGTATGTATCCAGATTCCTTAGCCAACTTCTCTTGACTCACCTTTGACAGTTTCCTGAGAACCCCTGTCCACTTTTCTGTCTTTGAGATACAGATGCACTCCTCTGGCCCCATCATAGAGTGTGCCCTGTCCTCAGTGCAGGTGTCCTCAATGAGTCTAGAGTTTGACAGTATGAGGCATCCATCGTGGAATGGCTGGCCAGAAGACTATTTGTTGCCTCACATTGAAATGTAGTAACTAAACTAAACTTAACTCATTTCAGGGTACATTGAGAATGGATATGTGAAGTTCATGGCAATTAATTTAAAAAATAACAGAGAACACCTACCTCTTATTGGAAAAGTTGGCCTTGCTTGGAGAACTGATATTTTTGATGGCTTTATTGAGGTAAAAATCAAGTTCTTTTCTTTAATTTTTGTTTTTGTATAATAAAAAACACGGTGTGTGTGTGTGTGTGTGTGTGTGTGTGTGTATGAGCCTTCTAATTGCACCTTCCTTCCATTCCTTTACACTTTCTGCATGTAAGACAGTCTGTGTATCTGAGAGAGTGAGAGCGAGAGCGAGAGAGCAAGAGAGAGAGAGAGAGAGATTAAAGGTTGGTTCACATATATAGCATCTGCTCATGACATTGTCATTCCTCTACACCAGTTTAAAGTTTATTGCGGTTACAAATTCTTGTTACAGATTTCAGGTGTCGTTTTGAACAGTTAAATACAAGCCACACAAAGGAGAATTGGCCTAGTGTTGGGAATTGTCAGGGAGGGAGGGAAGAGAAGCCAGGAAAGATCTCCTGCGATTCTATTCCCTTGTGTGATTCTGTCCCATGGCTTCTCCTGGCTCTCTTTACTGAACTTTATGAGTGGAGTTTGGGAGTCACAGGAGCCAGTGGGCTCACTGTCTCTGATGTGCTCTGTTCATTTTGCCTATTATGGGGACACCTGGGTAGAGCTAAAATGATGATGACTAAGACAAGACAGGATTGCTGTGGAGTCTGATCTCTTGAGTCATTGAAATTTGGCACAAAATGTGTTATTTATCCTGTTTATCTATGAGCAGATCTTAGCCTGGGTAAAATTGTCTATCACACACAAAAGAATATTGTTTCATGTTTTTAAGAGCACATTCCTGACCTCTTATTTTTCTGTGATAGGCTGAGGTGGGTGTTCAGTTAAAATATATGTTAAAGCTGTAATGAAATGCTTCTTCTAAAAATTTTTTTAAAAAATTAAAAAAAATATTAAAGCCAAAATAGACCTTGAAGACCAAGAATGACAGAATACAAGTATGAATGACAATCATTTAGTATTCTCTGGGGCTAAAAAAGGAAGTATAAGTGTTGGAGAGATGGCTCAGTGGTTAAGAGCACTGACTGCTGTAGCAGAGGACCTGGGTTCGATTCCCAGCACCCACATGTCGGCTGCGAACCATCCTTAACTCCAGTTCCAGGGGAATCTGAAACTCTCTTCTGACCTCCCGTGGCATTGCATGACACAGGTGCACTCACTTACGTTCAGGCGATACACTCATGCACATTAAAAAAAAAAAAGAGGGAAGTATAGTAATTATATCAAGAAACAAGGCCTTATTTCAGCCCTGTGATTGAAAAAAAAGTCTTCCCTAGATCTGCATGTAAGGCAGACAAAATCCAAAGTAGCCCTTTAGCAGCAAGTATGCCAGGAGAATTGCACAGCATTTCTGTGGGTGGCTGAGCTCACAGCTTCAGAACCTGACCCTTCAGTAAGCTCAGGGCAATGCTTCTGCAGGTTGCTTCAAGGCTGTAACTCAGGAACTGGGCTACTTGTGGCCTCTTTTGTGCAATCTAAAGACAGGATTCTGAGTCCCTGAAGTTGGGAGTGGATGGCCTGGCTCTAGGAAAATTCTCCATAAATACCCTCTCTCCTGAGCTAGAGGATGGGAGGGTAGATCTGCGTTTAAATATGTAAGCACTATTAAGACTAATTCATCCTTGAAAGTAGCAGGTGAGTGATATCATACCCCATGTGTTTGCTGTGCAGCTCAGGAATTTCCTCCTAGGAATCTGACTACCCTACACATAATAAACAGTAAAATACATTCTAAGAAATTGGCTTTCAGGGATTTAGCTTTTTTTAATTTTTTTTAAAGCAAAGTAATAAGATAGAAAAATAGTTTAGTTGGGCACAGTAGTGTCACTATGCTTTTTGTGCAGTGATGTGGGACAGGTAGGCCCCCTTCAAGCAGCCCTGTTGTGGTGTTCAGTGTCATGCACAATGATATACTCTCTAATCCACCTCTTCAGTTCCTATCAGAATCTCTGATAGATGGATTTCTCCTGCCAATCCCTTTCTTATGTCTTCTGTTTACTTTTTCTTTTCATGCCTTGGCATTTTTTTTGCTTTTATTTTAATGTTACCTCTAAATCTACATAGAGTTGGCATCAATTTTATTTAATCTAGGTATTTTAGCATAGGTCTGTCATTCTGCTTTATGTTAGGAGTTGAGTTCAGCGGCACCTGCTGTGAGCAGGTCATGGGTTCAGCCTGTTGTGAGTGCTATGCCTATCACAGAAATGCTTTGGTCACTTTCTGAGGACTGCAACACCTGGCTACATGCATGATCGCATGTTCGTGCTGTTAAATGGAACATCTTTGAAAGAATAGGACATTTGTGCCTGTGCAGGCACTATAGTCTCCCAGACATGGAATTTTGAACTGTATGGTAGTTCTTGAAGACCAGAGCTAACTTGAGCCCTGGCCTCCTATGTCAGATGCTCCTCCTGAGCCTGGCCAAGTTAACTGATCCCAAATACAACTGGGCCACATTCTTCTCTTTGAATGTTCTATTTTCTTTCTACCTATTTGCTTAATTGGTTCTTTTTCATTCTTTATAACAAGGTTTATTTATCATTCACTTATATAATTATCTGCCAGTATTTCTTGGTAACTAAGGGGTAGACAAAGATAGGTGCTGGGGAATATGTGAGTAAAAAGCAAAAATTACACCAAAAATCTGTGTCTACCCATTGAGCTTTTGATCTTTTGAGATGGGAGTGTCAGCGAGACACTGAGTACGCCATTGTCTGCACTAAGTTCTGAACATCCAGACAGCTAAAGGGGAAAGGAGAATGCTCAGATGGGGGCCTGGCCCATTGAAGGATCTGAAAGACAGCCGACATGGTTGGAGTACAGATGACAGGAAACAGTGTGTGAGGTGAGGAAGGTTATTCAGATGGAGCAGGCCAGGCTTTCAGGCTACAGGCAGGAATTTGGTTGCATGGTCTAAGTTGTGAGTGATATGACTGGATTTGTGTTTTTTAAAGATGCATCTTCTGAATACAGTAGATGGGAGTGAACAGAAGGAGATCAACTGAAGGCTGTTGTTGGGGTTCTTTGAAGAAAGAGGGACAACTTGGTATTTAGTTCCTCTTGACTGCCATAACTAAGTACCAGACTGGCTAGCTAGTTTGGTGGCTGGAAAGTGTAGCATCAAGGCACTGGATATCTAGTGTTTGGTCAGGGTCCCCTTCCTGGTTCATGGATGATGGCTTCATACTGTCTCTTCAGGCAGAAGGTCAAGGCAACCTCTGGGCCCTCTTTATCAGGGTACTGATCCTGCTCATGCTCTGTTCTTAAGCACACTTCCCTCCCCAGGGCCTCATTTCCCAGTACCATCTCATAGGGTGTGAGGTTTCACAGAGGAATGTTGAGTACACAGATGTAAAGAGTATACCACTTGGCAGTGGCAGTGGAGAAGACCAAGGATGATTCCAGTTGAAGGATAGGAGATAAAATAATATTCAGGATTTAGTGGTGGCTGCATACAGAGGGTAGAAGGCCAGTGGTGCTGGGATGATACCAGGCTTCAGGCACAGCTGATGCCCCTCCAGGGTCCAAGTAGCAGGTCCAGTGCAGTTTTGCTGAGGTGGTTGTGGGTTTGGATAGAGTCATACTGAAGTTGATGGACCCTTGGGTCATCTAGGTTATTTAGCAAGAACTTAGATATTTGATTCTGAACTTGAAGGAGGTTCAGTGTAGAAATATGCTTTTGGGGGTCTTGTCTTGGAAATGTTGGTTATTAATTGAATTATGGATGTAGACAGATTCCATCTAGGTAGGGAAAAGGATCATACATAATAAAACTAGGGCTTTAACATCAACCTTTGAGGACCTCCAGTAGTAATGTGGCCTGATGGAAGCTGCAGATGGTTCTGGAAGTATTAGGAAGGAAGTATTTGAAGAAAACAATGATAAGCAATGATAAGTGCTGCTAAAGTGGGGACTGACAGGTGTTCACTGCATTGAGAGGCTCAGGAAGGGGTCCTTTGTGGGTTGAAGTGTGGGCAGGAGGTAAAGACTTGGACAAAAGGAAGACAGATCTGCCTGCAAAGAGAAGAATGAACAAGGAGTGACGAGGCTTGGGGAGGTTATCTCTTTCTCTAAGATGGGAGTCACTTGAACATGTCTGAAAGCTAAAAGCTGGTGGACGAGGGACAGTACCCACTTATGTTAGAGAGCTATATCCTGTGAGAATGGAGAAGACCGAGGCCAGTTGGTGGGCCATGGCAAACTCCACGTGATTAAAGGGCATTTAACACTAAAGTGTAGGTGAGGAGAGGATGACACAGTGTGTTTGGTGTTTTACAGATAGGGAAGGTGCGCTACTCATCTTTCCCTAAGAAGAGTACGTGCTATGTGGAGGCCCTTGTGAGGAGGGCACAGGAGGTTGTAGGAGAGGAGAAGTTGGGCAGTTCAGAGAGGAGGAAAGGTGCCCCTGTAAAGCACAACAGACTCCACAGATTGTGCCTGGCTGTGGATACTCAGGATAGGCTCTGTGTGGCTCTGCTACAGTGCTAGGCAAATCTAGTTACAGATAAAACAGCTGGGCTCATCTGGTGCTGGGTTTCGGTAGAACTGAACACCAGGTGTGGTAAAAGAGGGGGGTAAAGTTTTGTGCATTGGTGAAGAGGTCAGTCTAGTGAAGGACAATGAAATCTAAAGTGACTGAGATGAGGCCAGAGAACGGGAGTTGGAAAGCTGGTAGGTATGGGAGCATAGGCCCATAAACCTTTTCACATCTTTCGTTATGCACATGCACATAACTTGTGAGCACACATATTCATGTGTCATGTAAGACAGTACTTATGCTTATTGTGTGCAGTTCAGGCTGATTTTTCTTTTATTTTGACATGTAGCTGTGCCTCATGACATGTAATTCAGGATGCAGTAGTAGTCATGGCTTGAAGTGAGAAAACACTGGTGAATCCAAAGTGCAGTGGGGTGGGAAGTGGGAGTAGCTGAATGAGTTTGTAGGAGGGTGAAGAGATAGTTAGAAAGCCAGGTGTTCAGTGTTGATTCTGTAAGCACAGCATTTATGGGAAGTGCTGTGCCTAGAGGTAAAACTGTGGAACT